GCTCGCTTCGGCTGGGCTCGGCTGGGCTCGGCCGGGCTCGGCTGGGTTCGGCGGACGACTAGGACCGCTTGGTCTCCGCCTCTCCTCTTCACGTCTGTAGGCCACGCACAGTTTAACCCGTCACTTGCCAGACAGTGAGCTCAGCTTTTGTCCCAGGTGCAAGCAAGGTTGAGGAGGGCAGCAGCGATGTGGGGGGCGGAGACCTCCAGTTCTTCGGGATGTGATGGCTCAACAGACCCCATGATTTCTAACCCCCCTAGCAGTTCTGAATTTCTGAGTCAGCCAGACATTTGAGTGCCCACCTCTGGCCAGGGTGGAAAGGGATGGGAGTTCAAGACCGTGGATGAGAGGACCAATGGTGTAGGAGAGAAAACTGCACACACAAGTTAGGGTGTCCCAGCAGCTTACTACCCTTATTTCATTTTGGCCCTGATGTATAATTCAATTTCTCTGAAGCAACCCAAACTGTCCTTACGTGGTTCGAGATCCAAGGGTATCAAAATATCCAAACCACTTACTGTGGCTTACAAGGAAGTCCCATAGGTCCCCATCTCTAGGTATCTCCGATTTTTCTTCCCTAGGATTTCTGTGTCTTGGCTACAGTGCAGCTGACATACGTTCCTCGAAGGAGGCAATAGAAACCTGCCTTGGGGTTTTGCACCTGCTAGTCCCTGTAGAAGTTTTTCCTTGGCCGTTCACAAATGGCCCACGCCAGTCTCACTTAGATCCAGCCTTCTGAGAGGCCTTCCCTAATCTCTTAAAAACTCCCCTGATGTGGGCTATGGAGATGGCTCAGGGGACAAGGGAGCTAGCTTGCCACCAAGCCTGACTACCTGAGTTCTAGCCCCTGGACTCAGATGGTGGAGAAAGACTCATTTGAGCTGTCATCAGACCTCTGAACAAGTGTGTGAGACCCACACACTAAAGATATGCAATTTACAAGATTCCTCTGGCCCATTCTTCTCCCTACGTTACCACCCCCAGCTTCTAGGAAACCTCACTCTCCTGGTTTCCCTCCAGCCTCCCTGCTGCTGTTTGTAAGTCATGCTCAGCTCTGACTTCTTAAGTGCTGGAGCCTCTTAGAGCTTAGTCCTTGGCCTTCTCTTTCCACATTCTTTGTCCAGTGATCTCATCCAGTCCCAGGGCTTAAATACTCTGTAAATGTCAGTGAGTCCTGAATTTATTTCCATAGCACCAGACTCATTTGTCCAACCGCCCACTTGACATATCCACTCTGATGTCTAATAGCCATGCAAACTTAATGTGACTCAAATAGATGTCTTGAATTACCCCATCCCCAATTCACTTCTGTCCAGGGCTCTCCGAGACATGACAACTCCCTGCTCAAGCTAAAGGCTGTTTTGGTTTTCAGTTCCTTCCCTGTATCTGCTTCACCAGCAAGTGCCACAGCCTCCACTCTCAACGCACGTCCTCCCTCACCCCGCTCATCTTTGCTGTCCTGATCCAAGCTGCATCGCACATCTGGGATCACAGGAGCTTCATTTCCATGCTCATCTTTTACAAAATACTCTTTACAGTTACCTATAATATTTTTAAAACATAAAAGCTCTTTCCTTTTAAAATATTCAAGGGCTGGTGAGATGGTTCAGCAGGTTTCCAAGCCTAACAACCTGAGTTTGGGTGGGAGGAGAGAACCAACTCCTACAGAGTTGTCCTCTGACTGCCATATTCCAGCGTGTGCACGTGAACACACACACACACGCACGCACACACACACACTGAATAAATACAATGTAAAAGCCACCAGCATGTACGCCCTCATGCCCAGTGCTTCGACCAGATCAGACCTCCTCATGTTCCAGAGCATCATAAGCCACTCCCTCCTCATGTTCC